ACACACACACACACACACACACACACACACACACACACACACACACACATCTCAGAAATGGAAAAATCACTGAGAATGTTGGACCCTTAGAGACTGGCCCATGAGATAGGGATCTGGGGTCCCTTTGGAATCTTAAATTGACCATTCTAGGAGCATCAGTTGGTTTTATTAAATATAGATTGGGACTCTTGTGGGCCAGATACTGAGTTTTGTAAAGTGGTATACCTCCTAAGAAAACGAAAAAAAAAAAAAAAAAAAAAACCACTGATTCTACCATTTTAGGTTTAGAAAAGAAATGGAGGGGCAGTTCTTTACTTCAGAATCTGATTTTCCCATTTCTGTTTCCTCTTTTCTCTCTTGCTGCTGCCTCTGGGGTGGCCTGGTATCAGAGGAGTGCATCCTTCCAGTCAGCGAGACCGTGCCCTCGGAGCGCACCAAGACCGCCCTGCTGGTGACCTCGGGTGCCATGCTGCTGCTGCTGCTGGGGGCCGCTGTGGTGGTGTGGCGGAAGTCTCGAAGCCGACCTGTGGCAAAGGGGCGCTACGAAAAGTTGGCGGAACCCACCGTGTCATACTCCTCCTACAGGAGCAGCTATCTTGAGGAGGACCAGGTGATCGAGTACAGGGACCGAGACTATGATGAAGATGATGAGGATGACATCGTCTACATGAGCCAAGATGGCACTGTCTACCGGAAGTTCAAGTACGGGCTGCTGGAGGAGGCAGAAGATGATGAGTTGGAGTACGATGATGAGAGCTACTCCTTCCAGTAAACAGAGCCTGCCTTGTAGTCCCCATGGCTCTCAGCCTTGCCTGGGGCTACCATCGCATTGGCTGAGGTTCGAGTGTGTGTGCTTTGTCCTAACTTTGTTTCCAACCTAAATATGTAGGGATGCTGGAGTCTGCTGTGCTGCTCTTGACTAGCTGAGTGCAATGAACAGATCCTGAAAAGCGAGAATTCAAAGGCATTTTCCTCGAGGGTTCGTCAAGACTTTAAACGCAGGAAGTGGAAGTGGAAGATCTGTTGAACACTCTAACATGATTTCTAAAGTGGACGGAACAGAGGACCTGTAAGGATTCTGCTGGAGACCCCTGCTTCCTTCTGGAATTCTGATAGTTGACCCACTAGTGGAGAGATGTAGTGGAGAGTACCAGAGAGTTGTTGGGGCTGGGGTGGGAGGACTCTCCCCTTTCAATTGTGTTTAAGAAGAAAATCTGTAAAGAGCGCGAAAAGGGGCTTGTTGTTTCTTTCACAGTACTTCTGGGGAGCCGAAAGGCCATCTCTCCTGTGAATGCTCAGGACCCATCTAAAACGAAGGATTAGCGGCCTCAAGGCTGACAGAGCGCATGCTCACTGGGCCCTGGCTCCTTTGCAAAGACCAGAATAAGGATCCTGGGCAGAGGAAGCTTAGGTGGAGGACAGCATCAAGTCACAAGGAAAGAGCTCGTGTCCAAGCATCGCACCCTCGTGATTCTCTAAGAGCCTTTTTGATAGGAAATGATAAAAGAAAAATTGTAATGGTACCCTAACACAAAATACAAAGATTTAGCTGCTTAATCAGAGCAAAGCTTTCACCAATGAGTCACCCAAGAAGCTCGGACTCTCCATAAGAAAAGGAGGGATAGAGTCTACCATTTAAAAATTTCCCAACATCTTGCTCACCGGCTGCAAACAGCTGCCCGGCTCTCTTCAATCCTGTGACTTCTTGTTTCTGGGCTTCCTAAACTCTTTTTCCACGCTGGTCAAGGGTGTTCGTAGATTATGCATTCATGGGCACGTTTTGCAGATGCTAATTCACAGGGAGGGTGCCAGATGCAAAAGGGCACGAGCAGAGCCTCATGGAGCAGCTCCTTGTTACAGGCAATGCTATGTGCAGACTACCAAAAAGTGAGTGGCCCCATCAGATGATGATAAATGAATTGCACACTTACCACATGCCATGCACCAATCTAACTAATGTATCTCCCCCACTTTGTACTTGAGAACTCTACCAGATGGTGCCAGCCATCCCTTATTTTTAAAGGAAATCTGAGGCTTCCAAAAAAGCTAAACTCAAGGTCACAGACAGCTGATCAAGGAATAAGAATGACCTTAAAGCATATATTCTTAATAACTGTGCTCCACTGTGAAAACAAGCATTCTAAACATAATAAAACTATGTCTGTTATTTTATTCTATGATGGTTATCCTACATACTCTAGTAACATGTGAATGTAAATGACAAACTTCATTTCTAGGAAATCCCTGTGCTTGTGTTTTTTTAGAGAAAAGCCCTCAGAACATAGACCACTAAATAGTCTCTGTCAACAGCCAGGTTTTTTCCCCAGGCTTTTTTACCAAAAAAAAAAAAAAAGGCTCTATTGGGAGTGTGCAAACTACCATGGGAGCGTGCATGGAATCAGTTCAAAATTAATGAGTAAGCTGTGGCTCCAGGGAAACTGTATTTAGGGACACTTAATATCTGAATTTCAGACCATTGTGACATATCATGAAGTAACACCCTTTGCATGGCCACTTAAAAACACATGAGATCTCTGTAAGTCCAGCAACAGGTGGCTTCAAACTCTTCAGACACCATGGGTATCATATAAACATCGGATCAAGTTCCCAAATTTTTGATCATTTAAAATTATCTCTTCAAAGTCCATTTGACTGTTCACTTTTCAATCCTTAAAATAGCTTTGAAGAATCGCCATCCTATTCTATCAGTGAGAGAATTCAACATTTCTTGCTGTGTAATCCCAGAGTTCAACTACAGAAGCAAGTAATTTTGATTGTAGGTGTCATTCATCTTCCTTAAGAATGTAGAAACAAACTGAGCTGCTCTCAGAAGCCTAGAAAAAATTCCCAAGAAAAGTATCTGTGCTTATGATGATGCACTCTCTTCTAAGATGACTTGAGACACTCAGAAAAATGGTGGTGTTCCGCTCTGTGATCCATAAAGAAAGGAATCTTATGCGTGTGTGTGGTTAAGACCTACCTAGCCTTGTGTTTGTAGTCTTCTCAAGCTTCCTTTGGATTCTGTGCTAACAACTGCCTTCACAGATAAATATGTGGTTGAAAAACAACTTTGGTTTTCTGCTTGCAGAAAGAAATGTTAAGACTGGAAATACACCAGGAGACTCAGTAAAAGCCCAGAAGATTCTGGCTCCCTGAAAGGAATTTTAATTGGAAACAAAGTGAAATCAAGAACAGATAATGTCACAGAGACTTGCTTATGACCAAAGTGTTTCTGGGCATTTGATGCATGTAGTATTATGCTGTGTACCAAATAATAGATACAAAACAGTAGGCATTCTGGGATGTGTCTGTTTCAATCCATCTCTACCCAAAGCTGAACAAGTAAGTTTCATCTCCAATAAGTCAGTCCAGTCCATCTTTCAACTCCATTACCACTGCCCTGTCCTATTATGGCTAAATTTCAATATCTATTTTTTCCCTCACTCAAGCTAGCAAAAGCCATTTCCAGGTAGAATGCTGATGTGGGCTGTAATCTCAGCACTCAGGAAACTGAAACAGAGAAATAGAGTATCAGACAGGTAGATGAACCCCAGGAGATGGCACAGGATAAAAGCTCTTGTGCAGGCCTGAGAACGGTAGATGGAGAAAACCACCTCCTGGAAAGTCGTATCTGACCAACACGTGCACACCATGGCACACACATAATCATAAAACAGTGTTCTAAAGCCAGTCATAGTGGCTCACACTTGTAATTCCAGTGCTTGGGATGGTGGGGCAGGAGGACTGCCTTAAGAGTGAAGACAGCTTGGGCTACAGTGTTTCAGGGAAGTCTGAACAGTGCAGACTGGACCTCAGCAAGTCAAACCAATCACTTCCAGGGTTACTCAGAAGGTCTCGTGTAGACTGCCCATCTCTCCTAATTATTGTGAATGACATTCAGCCTCTTAAGACTTTTCACCCACAGTGTCCTGGTCCCTCCCTGTTTCCCAGATTCCCCATCTATACTCTCAAGGCACCAAATTGCTTTTAGGCTCTTGCAATCCCACGCTGTTTCTCATGTCCTCCAGCACGTGTTGTTCACCCCTTTGGAATCTGCCTTGCCAGCCTTGACCAGAAGGAAAATTCCTGACCATCCTTTAAAATTGTGTTTCCTTGTCACCCATCCTGGGAGGTCTTCTTTGGTTACCTTCTCATCCTTCTTTTATGCAGACAATCTGTACATACAGTTACTTCATGCCACCTGGTAATCCTCTCTGCTTGCCTGGATGTACTCAAAATATGGGACTCTTTCAGGCAACTACTTCCCAGAATCTATAGTACATGGTGCCCAGAACTGGGGTGGGGTGGAGGACTTATAGTCAAGCATAGTGGCTCACAGTTTAATCCCAGTACTCAGGGGGCTGAGGCAGGAGGATCGCCATGAGTTTGAGAGGCTAAGCTGAGTAATGTAGTAAATTCCTGGCCAGCATAGACTACAGATGAGATGCTATTTAAAAAATAAGAACAAACGAACAAACAAAAAACTCCCAACAATGTAAAGAAGTTGTTAGTGTAAAACCTAGTTCTTATTCCAAAAGGAATAAGAAGTAATTTTATCAGGACCAAATATGAGTGACCATGGCCCAGAGATATGGATTTACATTCCCTGGAATGATGTGTCCTGACAGAAGTGGTTATATGCACTTTTATAGTCAGAGAATCAAAAGCAAGCATAAGCTAAAATGCATTTCCCCGATATGGCAGTAAGGATATCAGGCAGGGAGGTTACAGCAAAGTGGAGAAACTGTTTCAGAAGCTATCTGATGACATGGTTAGCTTGTGAACTGGTGAAAGCTAGCCGTCTGCTGCAAAATCCGAAGGTCTTATCTGATAGTCAAAAGGAATGCTAGGTCAGCTACAGAGGTTGGTGAGAAGTGACTGTTAAAGGACTAAAGTCCAAGGTGTAAGTTGGGCTCTCAGTCCACATCATTACAACCCTTCCTAGACAGGAAGTGTTAATCAGTCTGTACAATCTTCAACATAGCCACTTTTTTCAGGGCACATTAATTTCTTAAACTGATTGTTTTCATTTTGGTTAGTGCACATGTGTCTTCCCATCTGTGTATGCACCACCTGTGTGCAGGGCCTCAGAAGCCAGAAGGGGTTGACAAATCCCCTGGAGCCTGAGCTGCAGGCAATTCACTGACCATGGGATCTCCACAAGAGCCGGAAGTGCTCTTGACCACTGAGCCATTTCTCCAGCTCCTATTTTGTTTGGTTTTGAGACAGGTTCCAACTATGTATGTAGATCAGGCTGGGTGCAACCTCATGATCCATGCCCAAGCTCATCTGTGCTCAAGCTTAGAACTGAGTTTTATGAAGACAAGATTTGCAGGGTGTGGCAGTACACACCTATAATCCTAGCGCTCAGGAGCCTGCAGCAGAATTAGGAGCAAAAGAAAACAAAAGCATCCATGAGAAGTTTTACAGTAATGCTGTAAAAAAACAAAAAGTGGGGTGGGGAGGATATCTGAAGAATTATAAATTTCCAAATGTGAGGTGGAGAGATGACTGAGATGTTAGGAGCATGTGCAGCTCTTGCAGAGGATTTGAGTTTGGTTACCAGCACTGTGGCTCACAACCACCTCTGACCTCCAATTCCAAAGGATCTGATGCCTCACACCTGACCTGGAAGCTGCACTCACAGGAACAAAGCTAAGTGCACACACGAAATTAAAAATAATATTTTCCAAATGTGAAGTCAGAAGTTATATCCCATAGGGATAAGTATCTGCTGTTAGGAATAAGGGAAGCTGGAGACTGAATGCTTTC